CAAGGTGTCATAACAAAGATGTATTTGAATGTTATATTTGCATTAAAAATGTCATAACTGAGCGAATGACACTTAATGACCGTTGTCACAAACATGCATAAAACTTCATGCCATGATTATGAAGGTGTCATGTTAGTCTTATGTTACGTTCACACCGGACGCGAATAGCACGTCAAATTCGCGTCTACCGTGTCTAGTTTGACGCTTGACCACTTCGTGTTAATTCGCGCGCCAAGATCGAAACTGACATGGGTAAAATAAAAACTTTGAGGCGAAATTTACGCGCGTCAAATCCTAAACCCGTTGACGGCCATCTTTGTTTATGTTGATCGAGCATTCATCGAGAGATTCACCGTACAAAATGAACATGTCTTGTATATAAAAATAATGTTTTAAATGATAAAATATTTGCTTTGTTGTGCATAATCCCACCATGCATTTAGTCATATTACAAAATAATTTATTGAAGCATCCAGACACTTCACCACGTGAGCAAGCAGCTAGGCTCCTGATTGGTTAACGCGGCGCGAATTCACGCCAAAGTTCAGATTTTTCAACTCGGGTGGCAGACGCGAATTCGTGTCAAACGCGTGAATGCACAAATGGCACTAATTAAATCATTCGCGCGTAACGCGGCAGAAGCTCAATTCGTGCCATTCGCACAAACAAGGCGTATTCGCATCTTCCGCGCCGTGCTCCACGCCTCAATTTTTTACGCGCGTAACGCGTCTTTGCATTGACTTTACATTGAAATCATTCGTGCCTGACGCGCTATTGGCGTCCGGTGTGGACGTAGCCTTATGCACACCCCTTCAAGTAAAGTGTTACCTGATTTTCTATTTACAACGAACAATGTTGTGATTTCCACAAAAATAGTCATAGTAGTAGTATGCAAAATAGCTTGCAGCTCTTGGTTAATTATTATTATACCTTTATTTAACCAGAAAAAAACTCATTGAGATTAAAAATCTCTTTTCCAAGAGTGTCCTGGCCAAGACAGGCAGCAGCAAAAATAACAAAGTTGCAGACATGACAACAACAAAGGTTAAAGGTGGTGTGATTGATTTATGCTCAGATCAGTTTTCTGATTGGTTTTCCAAGGTGTCGACCACTCCTATACACGTTTTGTTGTTGTTCAGTGATGTCTGGTCATGTTGCGTGTGGTTGATCGTGTCGAGCAAGTCAACCTCTGACCTTGAGGAATCTCTGGAGCTGGAGTTGGGGAAACTCTCCAGCAAGATCTCATTCTATCCCTCTGACTTTTATTTGATCGACCTCCTTAAGAAAACAGTTTCCATGGTAACGTGCCGAGGAGCACAACACAGATGAAGGGAGAGATGAACCTTAGAGGATGCTGCCTTTGTCTCTGCCTGCTGGGATGTGTGTGCAGGATTCCCGTCCGCTCACGAGGCCTGTCATCCAAACTCTAAAACATGATTAAAAGCCTCTTCCATCATAGCCCTATTAATTCATTATGTTCAAGTCAGTCTGGGAGATGCAGATCTGCATAGTTTCTATTTTCCATCCGATCCGAGCATCCATTTATTGTTCCATCCATCTTTAATTTTTTTAATTTGATTCGTCTATCTTTTTTCCATCCATCCCTTTCCATTATTTTCTTTCCTTTGATCCATCAGAGAGTGAGAGATGGAGAGACTGGACAGGTTCTGTAGAGGTTCTGTCTTGAAGTGCAGTCAGGTGGTTGACGGACTCTGCAGAGAAGCGTAATCATGTGTAATTCCTACATGAGTAATTCTCAGCAGGAATCTGTTATATTCTAGTAAAGCACCAGGATCCTTCATCGGGAATAATGGCATACTCACAGATGCTGACGGGAGTGTGTGAGACTCCTCATCTCACAGCAGGACACATGGATATCTGCATGTCTCATTGCAGACGGTATTGGCTGCTGGTTCAGACTCGGCGTTCACTTGTGCTTAAATTCAGTTTTGGCTGCATGACTCTGGCTCTGAGTTACCAAGGGTCTTATCAAGCGAAACGATCGGTCATTTAAAAAATAAATAGAAAAGTTTAAGTTTTATAAGCTCAAATGGTCGCCTTGCTCTGTTCGTGACTCTCCTGTTCGAACTCGTTCATCAAAATGAATGAATCTTTTTTCCGATTCAATTCGTTCATTTCGTTCGTTGAATGAACCAAATGACTCAAATGATTTTGATGAATGAGTTAGAACAGGAGAGTCACAAAAATGTGTCACAGAACAGAGCAAGGTGAGCATTTGAGCTTATAAAACTTTTTTTAAAAAAATGAGCGATCGTTTCGCTTGATAAGACCCTTATTCATTATCTGGAATCGTTTAAAGCCCTTTGAAGCTGCACTGAAACTCTCATTTGGATTCTCTCGTTTGGTTCCCATTGAAGTCCATTATATGGAGAAAAATCCTTGAATGTTTTCATCAAAAACCTTAAATTTCTTTTCGACTGAAGAAAGAAAGACATGGACATCTTGGATGACATGGGGGTGAGAAAATTATCAGCAAAAGTTTTTTTTTGTTTTTTTTTTTAACTGAAGTACCCTTTAATATAAGTCTAGGACTCACTTAATGTTTTAAGTTAATAGTTAGGTGATATGGTTCAGTATCTCGAGCTCACAGCATTGCTATTGTGTCATGTGCGATGCCGGTGTTGTCTGCCATTATGAGTCCTGTTCAAACACAAAGACTCAGATAAGATGTTCAGTAAACACAAATATTAGCTATCGAACCGCATTAGCAGAGCGGCAAGGCCCTAATCGCTCACTCCAGTCTTTACACAGCGTGGAAAATAAACGCAGTGTTGTCCAGCCTCACTTCAGCTTGATGGCATTAGTGTGTTTTTTTCCTTCAGTTGTAGGTTATAAACATATTGCACATGAATATTTCCCACAGAAGACCCCAGTTTTAGCACTCACTGTACGTTCTGCAGAACAACGTGTTTCTCAGTGTTTTCTCCTTAAGGTGAGCTGGAGAGAGAAGAAAGAGAGGGATCCTGTGATGAACATGCGCTGTGTGCTTTGCTTCTGCCGAGTTATGTAGGCCAGACCTAATTACCGCTGCAGGAAACACTTGCAAATGAAAATCAAGCCGAGGAAACGCAGAATAGCCCCGGTCACACTTGCAGAGGCTTCATATAGCCTACGTCTGCTTGTGTTTGTTCATGTGGAATCTGTTGGAAATTTCCTTCCTTCCTCTTAGATGGCTGCAAATGAGCAAAGATGAATGAAATGGCTTTTAAACGAATAGGACTGCTTCATGTTGTCATTTTAGAATTATTATTATTATACCATGGTCTGGGTGAATACTCGATTCTGATTGGCTGCAGGGTGTCCGTTAAAAAGTGATAGAGGACACCTAGTAAAGTAGTTCTGGTGAAACTGCCTATTTACCATTCGAGATTTATAAATAAATGCGCTGCCTACAACAGCTGTGAGTAACCATAGCAACAGGCAGTCAAACGCTCTATCAAAACAAACATATAACGCATTACTATAGCCTAAATACAACAATGAGCGACTTCGTTATTTCTTTTAACATTTATGGAGAATATGGCAACTTTGACGACTGGCATGGTGTAGGTCGACTCTCCGATGCTGGACTGAGAGCCGTCAAATAATGTCGGTGACAGGACATCGATGCGAGAGCAGTCTGCGGGCTTACTGGGCTCCGTCTCTCCGTGAGAGACGAAGCTGGAGCAACATAACTTACTGTCTGCATCAAGTGCCCATCATGGGCAGCAGTAACGTTACCCAGCTTTTGAGGATCCTCCTGACTGGCCGACTTTTTCAAATTGCACTATAAATGGAAACGTTGAAATTAATTGTAAATAAAAAAAGCTAGCATGTAGGCAAATGACCCTCTCTTTGATCTGATTAATTTATTGCCCTCTATAAGCGCAAATCGCTGGTGCTCAGAACTAATTGTTTTTTTGTTTTGTTTTTTTGTTTGATTAATTGTTTTATGTGTAATAAAAAAATAACTATGCCTACCTTTGTGTTTCATGAAAAAAAAAAAATGCATTTTTGAAACTGAAGGGTTCTACAAGCTGAGCGGACTATAAATATCTCCGGTTGCTAAATAAACCGTCAGGCAAGTTGTTATTAGTAAAAATTAGATTTAGCCTAATTAAAATATAAACTAATGTTTTAAAAATGTTTTATTTGACAAGTGACCATGGTATAAGCGGGTTAATGCCCTCCGAGGTGTCCATTGTCAGGTTTTAATGGACTTCGGCGGAGGCAACCGTCCTCCGCTGCGAGTCGGCTGGTTCACGCCTCGCCGTCGTCCATTAAAACCTGACAATGGACACCTCGTCGGGCATTAACCCTTACTTTTAGTAAGTACCTTGTAGTAAGTTCACTCATAATGTTAGCTGAGGTTTCTTCCATCAACAAATCAAGAAACTATGCCTTTGCTTGCTTCTAGTTTAAGCTTTTATTGTATGAGAGGTTATGAATATGTTTTTAACTCTCTTCGTCTTGTATTGATGTTGCATAAATTGGGTTTCCGCAGCAGGTAATGTGACATTTTATAATAAGCTGTGCTGACTTGATTCCCACTGCTTGTTTGAGGTGTTTTACTGTCTTTTTGTTGTGTTTTGAGTTTTTTCCCCTCCGTTTCATTTCTTAGCAATTGGTTCCTGCTTAATTGCATGTTTTATTGCTTCCAATTCCCGTTTGTGGGAAAGTGAAAGTATCATTAGATTCCCACTGTGTGTTTCTCACTGCTGTAATCAGATTGAAGAAATATTGATTTCAAACACTCACTGTTCACCACATTACTTTGTCAGAAATGTTGTTAATGAGAGATACTTTCTGGAATTGTTGCAGTCTTTAATTTTGTTCTGTTTCTCTGTGAAGTCTCTGGCTTTTACGGTTCTTTTTGAAGGGTTTGTGGCACTTTAATAGCAGGTCTTTGGTCCTGACAGCCATGAACTGTCAGTGTTTGAAAGAGGGGTGCTGTAGGTGTTGTACTGTCACTCATCATCTGTCTGTCTGTCTCCTCGCAGGGCAGTTTCGTAGCCTGTATGACCGCCACTCTGCGGCAGATGGACGACTATCACTACGCCCACCTCATCAGCACCTTTGGGAAGATGCGCACAGATGTGGTGGTGAGTTTTATGCCAATAAAAACTTCATGAGCAACCCTTTACTCCCAACCCCTCATGTAGGAAAAAAAAAAAATATTTATTAGGGCTGGATATTGACACAAATTTCACAATTCGATTCTATTTCGATTCACAAGCTTGCAATTCGATTTCGATTCAGATTCGATTCAATATCGATTATTTTGGATATCAGTTACAATAAATGGCAAATTTTCTCAAGGAAATCAAATCTCTCAACTAATGCTGTAAACTATGGGAGTCTAGTTGTAGCCTATAGGCTTCATTAGCCTAATATGAAGGTAATAATGAACTGTTTTGTAGCTACACAAACACTTAAATTACACTTTTATTTATTTTTATAATAAGAAGATTATATGAAATATAAACATTTAAATGGTGGCTGTCATAAAAACTTGCCATATTTATTCAAAAATTCATTGAATATTGAAGAACATTAAGATTATAATGCATATGTTATATGGTGTATATATTTAGCAAAATGCTCCTCTCTGGAGTTGTTTTTTCTAGCTGACTAACGAGTTTATGTGGGTTTTCTGAGGTAAATATGACGATACTTACAAGCTGTTTAACTGACGTCTTTCCACGGTTGAAACGCTGATTGAGCGATTCAATGTGACATGATATGGATTTCGATAAGTTGTACTCTATCTTTTAACACACTTTCAGATGCTCATTCATGTTTATTTGGCGCTGTAACTGGTATTATTAAGCCGGAAGAGAGATCAGCACTGCTGCTTCTCATGTCAACTTATAATTTTCCCATAAAGTTTAGAGAATTTAACTCGGTTATTAAAGCTATTCCTCTGACACTTCGTCAACTTATCAAATGTCATATTTGTTACAATTCTCTATCTGTGACAAACCCAAATTTAATTTTAGAAGGTGTTGGGTTACTTGAGAAAAAATGTAATAACAAACATATTTGTAATATCTTCCAAAAACAAAACAAAATATCTCCTAGAGGGAAATTTTTCTGGAACTCTAAGATTGAAAATATTGAATGGAGAAGAGCTTGGTTAATTCCATTCAAATAGTGTATTAATAACAAAATAAAAGAAATACACTTCAAAATTCTACATACCATTTATCCCTCTAAATCTTTAATATCAAGATTTTTTGATATGGATGATATGTGCTGTTTTTGTAATAATGAGAAAGAGACACTGACTCACTTATTTTTTGACTGTGAAGTCGTGAGCCAGTTTTGGACTGATTTGGCAGACTTTATATTTAATTTGTTGAATACTAATTATTGCTTTACTTTAAAGGATGTTACCTTGTATTATGAAAATAAAAGTAATAAGGATCTGGAATTTATTGTTAACCTTTTTATCTTATTAGCAAAATTTCACATACATAAACAAAAATTCCTTAATTCATCTCCTATGTTAAATTTATTTTGTTATGACTTTGATTCCTACGTTTCTTCAATAAGATTGTTAAAAAATGAAAAATCTGTGAAATATTTACAATGCTATGATGCACTCTTCAATACCCCTGGTGTTTTGTAATACTCTTATTTGTTAAAATTGAATGTGAACTATGCTTTATTATTTATTTATGTATTTATTTTTGTTTTGGTTGTTTATGTTCTGTTATTGTCTGTATATGTTACCTTTCTGCAATAAAAAAAAAAAAAAAAAAAAAAAAAAAAAGCGCCAGAGCGATCTCACGCCACAGCGCCAAAACACTATTTATGTTTTTGAATTTCTAAAGAAAATGGACGTAATTTGAAAATTGAGACTTTGTTTCATATCAATAGTAACAAAGGACAAATGAAACAGGATGACTAATCGATATTTGAGATTTAAGAATCGATATCGGTTCGTAAAAAGGAGAATCGATTAATTTTGAGAAATCAATATTTATTACCCAGCCCTAATATTTATATACCTAGACATCTTATACGCACAATAATATATATATATATATATATATATTATTGTGTGTGTATATATCCAGTTGTGGTCAGAATTAATGGCACCCCTGGTAAGTATGATCAAAAATGGCTGTAAAAAATAAATTTGCATTCTTTATCCTTTTGATTTTTCATTCCCAAAAGTTGCAGAAATCTAAGCTTTCATTGAAGTAAAAGAGTTGAAAGTGCGGGGGAAATCACATTATGATACATGTTTTTCTCCAAAACAAGTTGGCCGCAATTATTGGTACCCCTAGAATTTTTTTCAGTTAAAACATCCCTGAAGTATACTCCCATTAATATTTTATTAGCACACCAGTGTGAACATGAAATTGTCTAGCTATGACTTAGAGTTTAAATATGAGGAAACACAAAGGCCAAATTCCCTTAATCGTCCATCACAATGAGTAAAACCAAAGAATATAGTTGTCTTAACAACAGTCTTATTGTAATTTAGTATATATATATATATATAAAATTAATAAAATTCAAACATGATCAAATATGTATATATAAATCGTGTATATGTGTTTATGGATAAATATGTTTTAATTGTTTAAAAAATATATATATTCTGTATAGTTTTTGTCATGTCCTGTTCACCCAAAACACTGCAACTCTCCTTCAGGATTTCCTCATGGAGACGTTTATCATGTTTAAGGATCTCATTGGAAAGAATGTCTATCCTGCTGACTGGGTCATAATGAACATGATGCAGAATAAGTAAGTAGACATGCTTCCTATAATGTTTTTCTTCATCAGCAAAACCTGTTTCTATTGGTCAGATCCTTTAATGGCCAGAGCAGAAACCAGACTCTGTGATCTCACTTTATACTGTAACTCGTGTGTGTATATTGCAAATATTTCAGCTATCTGTGTCAGGATGATGGTTTTTGATACGATTGATGGGATATCAAAATGTGCTACAGACAGCTTGTTAGTTTGAGATAAGACTGTGGGGGTAAATTGTGCATTTGGGAAACTTTTTGTCTGCCCTGTTTTAGGACTTTCTGGTTTCCAGTGAGGTTTCATGTTAAACTAGTTGAAATGCAGTTCATTCACTTAGCTCTGATTCAGTAAATCTTGTCTCCCCCCCCCCACATAGTTTTGAGTCAATTTTCTTTTTTCAATTTTGCGCTGGAGGATCGTCAGATATGTGCAGTCGCGTACGCGTGCAGCTTAGAGCGAGCATCTCTTACTTTAACTCTCTCTCTCCCTTCAACACACGCCGCTGTTGCTTAGAAACAGCAGTCAGAAATGGCCAAGAATGTGTTTGCGAATATTTCCTCCCATCAGTGCAGCATCAGTTAGTGTGTGTGTCAGGCATGTAGCGTTTCCGTGTGCACCTGTGTGTATTCACTCTGTTCTCGCTCCATCAGAAGTGTGGCGGCTGCTGAAATGAAAGATATGAATTATGAATCTTGGTGTGTGTGTTTGTGTGTCGGTTTCGCTCTGTTGTTGTGTATTGTTTTATTCATGCCTCTCTTCTCAACTCCTCTGCCAAATCCGCGTCCAGTGTGACTGAAGATGAAGGTTTAGTGTGTTTTCACAGCCTGCGGGAAGTCACACCTGAGTTTCCCGTCGCGGACTCGGAGAGCTTTCCGAGCATCCCTGAACCTTCTTGTTTGTCAGTATAATTGGTGTTTTTTGTTGAGTTCTTAATATTGATCACACTTATTCTTATACTCACTATTTTTGGTGCTTACTTACACTTACAAACTAAGCATGATGCTTCAAAACAGCGAGGACAGATGTGCTGATGCTTTACTGAGTGATCAGACCTTTTTTTTTGCACTGTGGATGAAGAAACAGGTGAAACAAAAATCCTTGGCCATGTTTGACACCTGGTATTAAGGTTTGGTTGATACGATCACAAGTAGATGAACATTCACATTTACACCTGGTGTTTTAATCCATCTCTTTTGTCCACTTTCAACCTCTTCTGTCCTGATTTCTTCGAGGGGAGGGTCTATGGGCGGGTAATTTAATGTTTTTTTCAGATCTTTCAATCTGAGGGACAAAATAAGCTCGTGCAATTGAAAGGAGATGTGAAACATGTGAAGAGCAGCAGATACGGTTTTTCCTCTGATATCTGCACAAGACCACGCCGATCACTGAGTGTGTGTTAGAAATCGACAATGGCGTTAGAACATTATGTGTGGTGTGTTTTTCATCTTCAAACCAAACTTGTGTCTTCAGCCATCAAAGTTTAAATCCTGTCTGTGTAGCTCTCTTCCCATAATGTTCACACATGAGGTCAGTATGCGAAGAGAAGACTTGTTTTTTTTTAGTTTGTGTAGAGAGTAAAGAAAAAAAATACTGGCAAAAAACAAAAACAATAAAAACCAATACTCATCAAAACAGAAAGCAAAAAAACAATAATATAGCTGCGAGCAGTGATGGCGGGCCCAAGCCGGTGGCACCGCAACCTCGGTTCCCTTAGTTACCTAAAGGCACCGGGGTAGTGGTGCCGCAGGCTTTGGCCCTTTCATGATTAACCCCTTAACTGTCACCGTCCCGGTACCGGTAACTTTACTTCACTATATTTCTATTAAATCCTAATCTAATTATGACAAATTATATATTGTTGGAAAGGTCTAAGACTTCTAAATAGATATTCTACCCCTGTTTTGTGTTAAAAATTATGTAGGAAGAGTAATTGATGAATTTATGACAAGAGTGCACCTCAAAAAATCTGCATCATAACAGGAGTTTTGACCTTTGTCACAAAAAGTTGATGAGCCCACTTTTAATCATTGAAACTTCTGTTTTTATGCTAAAAGTTCATAATAAACATATAATCTAGTATTTTTCAATAAAAAATAAAAAATTATAGTACAATATTATCCTCTGAAAATGATAATATTTATATTTATTATCCTCTAAAATATAATATTATTTTTTATCGCCTTTTTTATTATATCACATATTTTAGTAGTTATCATAAATTAGGTATCATTTGAAAGCTTATAAACTCAGAATTCATCGTGTGAAAACTGTTTTATAATTGAAAGTTGTGTTACCATAGAAACGGTACTTATTTTATCAGGCTCCTCCCCTTTTGGGCATCATTATATTTCATAATTTATGATCAAAACCTTTTCTAATCTTGACAAAACTGATATTGTCAGAAAGGTCTGAGTCTCAAGGTTCCAAATTTTGTGACATAATTGATATTTGGACAGAAATGTATTAATTTGTTAAGGCTGAATGTATACAACTAAATTCAATGGAATTCAATGGCACCCGGTGGCTATTTTTGGTACTACGCCTAAACAAAATCTCATGGGAACTTCAATTTTTGTGATATCAACTTCAAATTTGGAACATAACTTGATAAGATGTATGGCTTTGATTTCATAGAAATTTTAGAGTAAAAAATATTTTATAAAATATATATTTTATATAAAATAAAAAATATATAGTACAGTATATTTAATTTACTGTAAATTTAAACTTCCATAACTTTTTCATACTTTCATTTTTTGAAGTGTTTTCACTTCAGCAATATTCTGCTGAGTGTTTTCTTTAAAACAAGACCAAACTTGGGTATATATTCCAAAGCATTATTAAATTACAACCATTTAAGTTTGAAAAGTGCATTTTAACCCCCATTCTCAAAAGGGGGGTGACAGTTAAGGGGTTAAATGATTAAATGTTAAAACGGCTTGCCATGCTCTATCTGTCGTTTCAACTAGTCACAATTACATTACAGATATCTTAAATGATAATACAAACTATCCAAAATGTAATTATGACTAGTCAGAAAGACGTTGTTGATATCTACAATGTTAATTCCGGATAGGCAAACTTAGCTTTTAAATGTTAAAAGGGCTTGCCATACAGGGCGTAGGCTCAGAGAGAGGCTCACCGTATTCAAACCAAAATATCTGACTTCCTCTTGGTCCGAGCTAATGACTATGAATTAGAAAGTTGTCCGGCTTGAGGAGTACAATGTATATACCGATTTTTGTAACTGTAGATAAAACTAACAACCCCACTTTTGTCAAAAGGTGGCGCTATTTAGTCCCTGCACCACGCCCGTTTCTGAAACTTTGCACATGTCAACTGGCCAATAAATGTGATGTGTCTGTTGAGGTTCATGCAATTTCAAGCATGCTAAGAGTCTCAAAAGCATCCTAAAAGAATTTTAAAGTTTGATGTGTTGCCACGTCGGCAGCAGTATCAAAGATATCAAGAATCCATTCATTGGTCTTTATCTGGCGTGTGTTAACATTTTACAGATGAAGTTTGAAGCAAATCGGGTAAAAATAAGAGGGTGATTTCAAAGCATTTTGAAAGTGACAGACTTCCTGCTGCCAGTTGGTGGCGCTATAGTTTTTACTCACAATAGTCACATCCATGTGATCGTCCTCTTACAGCGAACACACTGATGAAGTTTCATCAAGATCAGTTAATGTATGTATTTTTGAACTTAGTTATGCTTGGACATTGATTGAGCACTGAAGGCAGTCTGTTGCACAGCTTCACTCCACATATAGAAATACAAAAACTGTTCGAACGCTCAGAATATTTCGCACCCCGTTTACACCTGTATTTAGCGTTGTCCACTTGTGACGCGATCGACCAAAACCCTAGGCGTAAACAGCGCCTCAGAGACTTGAGGGTGGCTTCTTATCACTCGCAATAACACCCTAGCGACCACATCGCACATGCAGCCACCCAGAACACTGTGTTAACTTTACAGCATCACTCCATCCTCATGGCTTGTGCACGTGTAAGCACCACTCTCATTTCTCTTGGTTATCTTCTGTTGTAAACAAAGTAGGCCGGTGCTCATCAGATGAGTGAATGTGATGAGAAGCTCTGATGTTCAAGGAGACCGGATAGATCGCACAGATCCTCTGAAGTTCTCAGTAATTTCCCTGTCTATCCGTGCTGGGATTGTAGATATGCGGCTCTGAAGTTTTGATTTATTTGTGCGTCTAATGCACTTCTCATATATTCCTGTGCTTCTCTCCGCTGTGGAGGAATACTGTTGCCGCCAGCTGCCGTGTGCTGGTTTGATTGGCTGAGAGGTCGGGGGTCAGGCTTTGATATTGGAATTCATAGAGTCAGGCGGAAGCCACCTGTGTGTCGGAGCGCTGATGGAGAACCCCTGCAGGTGCACGCGTCACATCCTGTGCGCTGGAAAGTGGAGTCAACAGGTGCACGAGACAGTGGAGAAACAATGTGCGGTCTCTCTCTCTCTCTGTAACGCATTGATGGAGGCGGATGAGAGCTTGTTTAATGTGCCTTACTGCATCTCTCTCCGACTACCTTTCAGCGATGTTGCACAGCAACATGAACACGGACTTTCACGAGCCATGTTTCCATCCACTTGTCAATCGAATTATCTGAAGTTCGGTAAAAAAAACAACCCTATCTCACGGGAATTCGTACGAATTGTACGAGGTGGCTAATTCGTAACAATTCGTACGACCTCACTCGTACAATTTTGCTAAATCGTACATGTTTTACGAATTAGCCAATTCGTATGAATTCGTACGAATTACCTACCCCTGACCCCGCCCCTAAACATAACCGTCACGTGGGTTTAGACAAATCGTACAAATTTGTACGAGTGAGGTCGTATGAATTAGTACGAATTAGCCACTTTTGGATCACTCGTACGAATTGGTTGTGAGATAGCGTAGAAAAAAACACATGCGAATAAAGCTGGTGAAAGTGTGTTTCCATCCAACGGCTTTAAGGCGAAAAAA